CTTTAGATACTAGTAATGGGAAAAAGTTCCTGCATTCCAATCATTTCAGGCAGTTTATTGGGAAAAAAAAGGAACTTTACAATGTTTCGACCCTGACCTGGGTCTTTGTCAAAGAACAGGTCTGGATCGAAACATTGTAGTGTTCCTTATGTTTAAATAAATGTGCCTGAACGATGGACTTTTTTCCATTACCAGTATCTATTATAGTTGGCTTGTGCTGGCTCATGGTCCAGTTTTTTGCTTATGTCGATGAAGTGCGGTTCCTATGGTATATGGTTATCAGTGTCTTCTTTGCCAATGACGTTTTTCCATAAATACCAATTTTTTATTTTTATTGAGTACTGGTCATGAGACATCCGGAGTAAATCCATTATGGTGTTCTAGTGTTAAGAAACCTATTTCTTTGTTCTTACGTCCCCTTTGCTTCCACTGAGATAATGAGGAATTTCACTTCCTCGTTACCCATCCAAATTTGGACTCACCGTGTATCGTTGCTCATGAAATGTGGAAGTTAAATCCTCATTATCTCTGTGGCAGCAAAAAATCTGGCAAAGTCTGTCATTAAGTTGTAAAGGTATTTAGAGGTATTTAAATTCTCATTATTTGCCGATTTTATGGTCTAATTACTTCATGACTCAAAAACCACGTCATAACCCCATGCCAAACAGAAACTGGCTGATTTAGAAACCCCAAAAATATTTTAACACAGCTGGTTCCACGATGCCTAAAAACCTATAATAATTAATCAGAGGGGAAAAAAATAATAATTTGCTACAATCTGCACAGTTCTTTCCTAAGCCCTAAACGCATACCTTTCATTAGCTGCAGAACCAATCTCTGCAGCTAATAAATACACACCCGCATTTGCCCAGCACTTTCTTGTTCGTTTCTAATGCACATTTCCAAGACCATACAGTGGAGGTAAGTCTGGGATTAATATATAGCAGAGGTAAGTATACAGGGAGTGCAGAATTATTAGGCAAGTTGTATTTTTGAGGATTAATTTTATTATTGAACAACAACCATGTTCTCAATGAACCCAAAAAACTCATTAATATCAAAGCTGAATATTTTTGGAAGTAGTTTTTAGTTTGTTTTTAGTTATAGCTATGTTAGGGGGATATCTGTGTGTGCAGGTGACTATTACTGTGCATAATTATTAGGCAACTTAACAAAAAACAAATATATACCCATTTCAATTATTTATTATTACCAGTGAAACCAATATAACATCTCAACATTCACAAATATACATTTCTGACATTCAAAAACAAAACAAAAACAAATCAGTGACCAATATAGCCACCTTTCTTTGCAAGGACACTCAAAAGCCTGCCATCCATGGATTCTGTCAGTGTTTTGATCTGTTCACCATCAACATTGCGTGCAGCAGCAACCACAGCCTCCCAGACACTGTTCAGAGAGGTGTACTGTTTTCCCTCCTTGTAAATCTCACATTTGATGATGGACCACAGGTTCTCAATGGGGTTTAGATCAGGTGAACAAGGAGGCCATGTCATTAGATTTTCTTCTTTTATACCCTTTCTTGCCAGCCACGCTGTGGAGTACTTGGACGCGTGTGATGGAGCATTGTCCTGCATGAAAATCATGTTTTTCTTGAAGGATGCAGACTTCTTCCTGTACCACTGCTTGAAGAAGGTGTCTTCCAGGAACTGGCAGTAGGACTGGGAGTTGAGCTTGACTCCATCCTCAACCCGAAAAGGCCCCACAAGCTCATCTTTGATGATACCAGCCCAAACCAGTACTCCACCTCCACCTTGCTGGCGTCTGAGTCGGACTGGAGCTCTCTGCCCTTTACCAATCCAGCCACGGGCCCATCCATCTGGCCCATCAAGACTCACTCTCATTTCATCAGTCCATAAAACCTTAGAAAAATCAGTCTTGAGATATTTCTTGGCCTAGTCTTGACGTTTCAGCTTGTGTGTCTTGTTCAGTGGTGGTCGTCTTTCAGCCTTTCTTACCTTGGCCATGTCTCTGAGTATTGCACACCTTGTGCTTTTGGGCACTCCAGTGATGTTGCAGCTCTGAAATATGGCCAAACTGGTGGCAAGTGGCATCGTGGCAGCTGCACGCTTGACTTTTCTCAGTTCATGGGCAGTTATTTTGCGCCTTGGTTTTTCCACACGCTTCTTGCGACCCTGTTGACTATTTTGAATGAAACGCTTGATTGTTCGATGATCACGCTTCAGAAGCTTTGCAATTTTAAGAGTGCTGCATCCCTCTGCAAGATATCTCACTATTTTTGACTTTTCTGAGCCTGTCAAGTCCTTCTTTTGACCCATTTTGCCAAAGGAAAGGAAGTTGCCTAATAATTATGCACACCTGATATAGGGTGTTGATGTCATTAGACCACACCCCTTCTCATTACAGAGATGCACATCACCTAATATGCTTAATTGGTAGTAGGCTTTCGAGCCTATACAGCTTGGAGTAAGACAACATGCATAAAGAGGATGATGTGGTCAAAATACTCATTTGCCTAATAATTCTGCACTCCCTGTAAAAGTACTTCTCAAACTCCAGCATAATAATGTCTGAATTTTCTTATATACAAACTGTGTGACATTAGAATTTTTTCTTGTGTACCTTATTACTATAAACACTGTTGTAACATGTGTTGTTTGAGTTGTTATTGTTTTATTTCCTGTGTAAACTGAATTGGTACCTCTTTCTACAGGATAGTTCACAGTATGCAGACTCGGAGCATTCAAGCAGTGTAAGAAAGACTTCCTTCATACGGACGTCGCATCCCTTTACAAAAATGAGTGATTCAGAGGTGAGCGCAGACCTATAAAAATAACAGTAAAAAAATAAAATAAAAAGTCACCATTTAAAATGAATTATTTTTTCACCCTCCCAAAAAAGTAAAATACAATCCATTGCATATCAAAAACCACAAAAAAAAAAACCAAAAAAAAAAAATAAATATTGCGATGCAATAAAAATACTCTATCTTTATCTATGCGATGCCCACACTGAATGAACGTTCAAGGCAGGAAAAGCGCAGTCTGAGAATTGTGATTGGTTGCCTTGGAAAGTTAGTTAAATGAAATTATTAGCTGAGCATCATAAGAAAAAGTCTTCCAGAAATGGTGGCTAACCTTGCCACTGCAGATCTTTGTCGTTTACATTTTCCATAATCTGCTAGATAGCACCAAAAAAATAAGCAAATATATTTTGTTTATATGTTGTATTTAAAGTAACACTCCAAGCACCATAACCACTACAATGTGCTGCATGACCACGATCATTGGCTGTTCGTCTGACTCTCTTAGCTACTGAGCTGGCCCTGTGTGGCAAGATTTAGCTCAGAAGAACCAACAGAAACTCCATACAGGAGGTTGAAGAAGTGAACCGTAGTAGTTATGGTGCGAGGAGTGTCCTGGGACCCTCCCAAAGTAATTTGTCAAAACCATTTTAATATGGTTTGACAACACACCTGGGTCCCCCGGGCATCTATTCTACATCTAGTCTTCTGCAGGAGAAGCCATGTTTCTACAAGGCTGTGCTCATTGGCTGATGCTCTAAGCCAGGGATAGGCAACCTTCAGTACTCCAGATATTTTGGACTACATCTCCTAAAATGCTCTCACAGCCATAATGCTGGCAAAGCATCAAGGGATATGTAGTCCACAACACCTGGAGTGCTGAAGGTAGCCTACCACTGCTCTAAGCCAATGAGAACAGCCCTTTACTGCCATATTTAGTTCTGGGAAACTAATCAGATTCTCCTGCAAGAAGAATCCAGGAGACAGGGTGGCCATGGGTGTTCAGAGAGGACACTCCTTGCACCATAAACACTACAACAGTCTGTAGTGGTCATGGTGCAGGGAGACTTCCTTTAAAATTAAATATACTACATAACATTTTAATATGTAAGCTACGATATATGTTTTGGTAAGCGAATTATATAATATAATCCCAAAGTGATAGGTGACCTGGAACTGTTGATATTTCAAAGTAAAGTAATTGCTACGCTGAACTGATAGAGAGAATTGCAAACATCCGAATCATTCAGAAAATCTAATTAGGTTTCATAATTAGGCATTTCTTGTTATAGGGACACTCCAAGCACCGGTGCAATGCTAATGCTTTTGACCGCATTGATATGTTGTATTTTTTAACATCTTCAAATCTTTAAAGTTTTTGCACAAATCATTTTTTTTTTTTTTACCAAAGTCTGCACCATAAAATTGCCTCCTTAGCCTTGCTCCATAAAAATTCACTAGCTGAATGATCTGAACTACAAAACAACATGCAGTACAAGGAGAGGATACCCAGGCAGACTGTTTATAGTCTATCTGTTTATAGTTTCTCTGCCTGTCTGCGGCCAGGTTGTGAATATAACCAGCTCACTCAGTGTAAGTGGATGAGCGGTGTACATACACACGGCTGCCATCAGGGGGTGACAACCATGACGGAACTGCCAGGGGTGCATCTGCACCGTGGCCCATCAGGTGGCCCAAGCGTTTAGGGCCACCTGATGAGCCCTATATCTTCAGGGGCCGGTCAGCGCTGTAATTGCGCAACCGGACCCCTTTAAAAAAAAAAAATGCGGCTGCACCGCAAATGCTGCTGGGAGGAAGTGACGGCCGGTCACTTCCTCCCAGCTTACTCCGGGAGAGGAGAGGACAGGACAGTACACCAGAGGCATCCACTCCCATCATCCCCAGCCACCCTCCTGGAACTTAAAGGAAAGAGGAGGGTGGCTGATAAATGAGGTGTGTGTGTGAATATGTATGTGTCTGCCAGTATGTCTGTCTGTCAGTATGTATGTATGTATGTCTGTCTGTCAGTATGTATGTATGTATGTCTGTTTGACAGTATGTATGTGTTTTTCTTTTCTAACTTTGCTGTTTGCATTCTCTTACCTCTGTATTTGTGATACTACACTAGGATGCTCTGTTTTATGCAGTCTTATTTTCTCTTTTCAATGAAATGTATTTGCATTCTACCAATGACAGAATAAAGTTTAAGCCCTTATGTGGAAACAAGTCAAATGCATTTTCTATACCTTTTCCTGTTTTAGAAATATCTAGGCATTGTGAAAGAGATCTAGGCCAGGAGATAAATGATGGGGTTGGAGATGGATTTTTAATCTCTACAAGTGTGTCTCTCAATGGACACATTCATGGACATGAAGTGAGAAAATACACCTGCTTTACTGCTACAATGAGAGAGGCTACTTGAAACGTCATACATACACACATGACATGTATGTGTGTATGTATGTCAGTGTGTGTGTGTCATTATGTATGTGTGTATGTATGTCAGTATGCATGTATGTCTGTATGTAGCTGTGTATGTATATATCTATCCGAGTGTGTATGTCTGTATGTATGTATATCGGTATGTATGTGTATGTATGCCAGTATGTATTTATGTGTACGTCTGTATGTCAGTTTGTATGTATGTCTGTTTGTGTGTGTGTCAGTATGTGAGTATGTATGTACATCAGTGTGTGTGTCTGTCTGTTTAAGTATTTGTGTATCTTTCTGTGTGTGTGTCTGTGTCCTTTTGTGTCTGTGTGTGTGCATTCCTGTGGGTGGGATTTGGAGGCAGGCACCCGGGGGCCCAGACCTTGAGCTTTGTTAGGGGCCCCACAATTTCTGATGGCGGCCCTGTACATACATTTGATAAGGAAGTATGTTTTTAGGATGAGGGGGCGTGGCTGACGAGGCAGGCTTGTGGTGCAGCATTCTGCAAAACATTGTAAGCATACGCACTAATATTATTGTTTACACTATTCTGCAAAACTATTAGTTTTTTTGTGCAAAAACTATAAAGATGAGAATGAAAAAATAATAATAATAAAAATAATAATGATAATACAGCTTAATAATGAGGTCAAAACCTATCAGAAGTTGTTTTGGTGCCCCGAGTGTCCCTGTATTTTTATTTCACATTTTGCATTTCTCGTCGTCACCTTGATTACTATGAGAAAATCATGGGCTCTCTGTCCCTGGAGTGTCTGTATAAGAAAGGTATTGTAATGACGGTTAATTCATTTGGATAGATTTTATCGCACTAAAATATAACATATATTTAATCTATAGGAACCTATGGAGGTGACTTTAAGCACCGAAGCGGAAACATGTGCCAGTGGATTTACCATAACTGGCGGGGGACAAGAAGGAATAACAGTATCCCAAGTTTTGAAAGAATCTAAACATTCTAAAATATTCTGCATAAAAGAAGGTACATTTCTTTTTAACACAATTCATTCCCAAAGGATGTACGCTTTATTTATGGTATTTGCACACGTTTGTGTTCATTCACCAAAGTGTGAAAAAAATCTAATTTTAATCCAAATTAGCAGAACTGAAAATAAAGCTTACTTAGGGAATTTTCAAAGTTTGTATATTCTATCCTATAATGTAAAAAATAACTTTCAATAAATAGTGTAGTAAATAACATTGTCAGTTTCACTAACAGTAGAATCAAAGAAATGGACATACACCATGACAGTGGGTTATGTTTCAGAAAAACAATAGTCTTACCTGCTAAACCCAGAAGTGATCAGGGGCGATAGATTCCATTAAAAAAGAAACCGCAAAACAGCTGACCTTTAAGTGGTTTCCGGTAACAGATCACATATGACGCTGTTTTTCCCCTACTACCCTTTATCTGTTGTGTGGATTTTCTGGCTCAATAAATTTGCCCTGCCCTTTTACCAGTCAGAATTTTATTTTAGGTTCTTATGACCAACTCTTTTGTAGTGTCACCAACAGGCCCATCTCTCTCAATAAGATATCTGCTTCTATTCATAAGCTGAGAGTACATCTTGAAATCCAGTACTACTGGGGAGGGAAGAAGACCTGTGAATTAGATGAATTAGGAATGTTTAAAATGTAATGTTGTAACAATGTATTTCTTCAGGACATTCATATCCATGTTTACTGTGGCAAGTTGGCCCAACCAAAAATCTGTTTTTTTTATAAAACCAGCACCTTAAATCAGTGAAGTGGTCATAGTGCTGGAGTTATCCACTGAATATCGTAGCCGTTACAGTCTGCTGTAGTGGTTAAGGTACCATGATTACCCTGGTTCTGTTCCCTGGTAAGGGGGCAAATCATCTTGCAACTGTTTGCCTCTTCACTGATTCCTACTGAACCCCGAGTCTCCTCTTGTGGTGGCTGAACTAGTGTCTGTATTCTGCTGATTCGCAGAAGCCAAATGCCGATCCTGCCATTCACTCATTTGCTGGGAGCATCAACCAATCCATGAGCAATTGCACATAGAATACGCACGGTATTAACATTAGCCAGTCCAGGACTCTGGTTCTGGGTCGGATAATTAAAGCTGAAGGAGGTGGAGTTACACGTCCAACAGCAACATAAAATATTTAGTTATGTGCAGTGTCAAAGAGAATTTCCATTTTAAGGCCAAAGTAGAACAAACTGGGAGAAGAGTTCGGGTACTTTGGCCTTAAATGTGAAATTCACTTGAATTCTGACTTTAGCAAAAAAACTTCTAACTACTGAATTAAGACAGCCAGTAAAATGATTTAGACAAGTCTTGCAACAGAGTTAAATACACAAATTCAACATGAAATCACATGTCTTGCAGGGGATCAACTCCTAAGTGCTACCATTTATTTTGACAATATCACATATGAAGACGCTACTAGGATTCTGCAGCATTCAGAGCCTTACAGAGTACAATTCCAATTAAAACGTAAACTTGGGAAAGAAGAAAGGGAAAAGCTGCACTCAGCGATTCAAACAAAGAAAGAGAGGACAAATCAGGTACACAAACGATGCACACAATTTGTTAAAATGAGCTTGACATGGTCAAGTGAGTCCTTTGTATATTTCAGAATAACGTACAGGGAATAACAGTGGATCGACCCCATGAGACACCCTATAGACCGTTAACATTAGTTAGGCTTTTATGTTATTAATAAACCAAACCACGCTATCAGTCACCACACACAATGGTTCTGATGTGTACCAGGCCCTATGAACCCTTAAATTCGACATTCTCCACACATCACTGTCCATGTCGAATGTTGTTAAATATAAAATGCACTGTGTAGTATCAATGCTCACCAAAATGTACCGAAAAGTTGATCAATGTCTGTTTACGCTGTTGGGGCATTATAAATCACGCTGTTATGTTACTATGTACAACAAAATAAAGAATGAAGAAAAAAAATAAAATAAAAATTTTTGAATAAACTGCTTAAAGGAACACTATAGGGTCAGGAACACAAATGTGTATTCCTGATTCTATAATGCTAAAACCCTATTTAGCCCCCCTGACACACCCTTAAATAATGTTAAAATTCACCATCTGAGAAGTGGCCAGGGCCGGACTGGGGAAACAAAGCAGCCCTGGAAAAAAAATTTATGCCAGCCCCATAAGTCACTGCGCTATATATTGTCGCATGTAATATGTAAGGCTTTGTCTTGCCATTACAGATGATAGAGTAATATATATATATTATATATTGCTTTTTCTAATATAAAATATTGGTCCTTTCAGAGTAAAACGTTTAATTATACAGTAAGCATACTCACATGCAGACACAGACAAGCTCACTGACACACACAAGCTCATTGATACACAGCCTCATAGACAAACAATCTCACTGATATACATCAACTTATTGACACACAAGCTCACTCACTAGCAGGCACACGCATGCAAGCAAGCTCACTCACTAGCAGACGCACATACACAGCTTAATGTAGTGGTACCGGTGTCTATAGCATGTCACTACAGGCTTTTCAATGTAAACACTGAATTTTCAGAGAAAAGGCAGTGTTTACATTGCTTCAAAGTGACACCGATAGTGACAGTCACTCAGACGGTCAATAGAGGTGCTTCCTTTGTCAGTGCACCTACATTCAGGGACACCACACTCTGTAGGTGCTGAACTTTCCCCATAGAGATACATTGATTCAATGCATCTCTATGAGGAGATGCTGATTGGTGTAACGTTTTGCAGCCAATTCTATGGCAAAACATTGGATTTGCTGAGATCATCAAGCTTGATGATCTCAGCCATAGAGGCAGGGCCAGTCGAGGGGAGACCAGCACGCTGCGTAGGGGAAAAAAAGGTGAGCAAAAACACTATTTTTAAACACACATATACACCATGACAGACACAGAAACACACATATACCATGACAGATACACACCCCATTACAGACCATGACACAGACAGACCCACACACACACCATGACACAGACAGACACACACACATATACCATGACACACACACCATGACATAGACAAACACACACCCCATGACAGACAAACAGACACACACACCATGAGACAGACACACCATGACACAGACAGACAGACCATGACACAGACAGACAGACACACACCATAACAGACAGACAGACACACCATAACAGACAGACAAACTCACACTGACACACATTACTACTACCTGCCAGGGGGTTGTGCAGTGCAGACGTCTGTCTGTGCTGGCGGCCGCTGGGGGAGCTGCGTTGGCTATGGTCTCCTGCCCTCGCGCGCTTCTGAATGAGACCGGGGCAGGAATATGACGTCATATTCCGGCCCCGGTCTCATTAAGCTGCACGCTGGGGAGCAGAGACAGCGCAGCTCCCCCAGCGACCTTCAGCACAAGTCCCCCAGCAGCCGCCAGCACAGGTGCCCAAGCAGCCGCCAGCAGACCCAGGTGTCTGCCCGGCCCCAGGTGCCGACGGCCCACCGGGAAATTTCCCGGTATCCCGGTGGGCCAGTCCGGCCCCTGAGTGGCCATTAGAGGTGTTCCAGGATTGTAATGTAAACACTGCCTTTTATCTGAAAAGACAGTGTTTACTGAAAGAGACCTGTAGGGGCTGGCCTTATTCACCAGAACAACTACATTAAGCTGAAATTGTTCTGGTGACTATAGTGTTCCTTTAAGGCAAAGTTACCCGATTTAAAGGGACCCTGTCATTTAATATAGTTTAGTACAGTGGTAGACACCCTTCAGCACTCCAGATGTTGTAGACTATATCTCCCCTGATGCTTTGTCAGCATAATTGCTGTAAGAGCATTATGGTAGTGTCACAGGTAAAGGTAAATAAAGGGTTAAAACCTTTGCCTTAGTTAAGTCCTTCAACGTCTGCAGGGGTTAAAAGTTAAATTATTCACTTCTGCTTGTGTCAGCAGTCTTTGCAGCTGCCTCCTGATTTTTATGAATGTAGTCCACAACATCTGGAGTGTTGAAATTTGCCTTACCCTCGTTTAGAACATGGACTGCAATGCTGCAAATCTGCTATGAAGATCAATGGCCTGTTCATTCATCCAGGGTTCATTCATGTACTCTGCTTGCGTGGCCAAAGAGTAAACATGTATTCACTGTAAGCTGAGCACGGGTATGCGTCTGTAAATTTATTTATTTTTTACATTGAAATTTGCAAACAATTGCAGTGCACGTAGAATTATTGCTTACTTTTCATAACAGCTAATTCTAAGTCTTGTCATGGCCTTTTTCTCCTGTATACATAATATTTACACAGAGCTGGAACTACAGAGGCATTGGAAAGTAAACAAGAGATGTTATTTATATTTAAAACATATTCGGGAGCATTGTTAATATAACATAGGGATTTAGCCCCCCAAAAAGGTGATAACCCATCATTCGATGCCACATCTGGGCCCCATGCCATTCTATAACATATATACTCCTACATCCCTCATCCCAAGTTGGTCTCTCTGCCGTCTTTTGCTTGGCTATCTTCCACTGGATTTCAAAAATAGTTTATGGCCCACTTAGTATAATAAAATTAAATATAGTAGTTATAAAATCGCACCCTCTTTTTAATAAACTACGATGACCAAATTGATATGGAACTGACTCATAGTTTATTATGAGCTGTATATTATTTTGTATCTAAATGTTAAAGTTATATATTTGCATAATACAATGCATGTCATGTTTGTAATTGTAGGGTGAAGACACAGCTGGTACTTTGGGAAAAATAGAAAGTGACCGAACAGTGAAAAAACGAGAGCATAAAAAGAAACGTTCAAAGAAAGACAGGCTCTCATGGCCAAAATTTCAGTCTATTACAACTCCTACATTTTCAGGACATAGAAGGTCGTGTAGTACATCGGAAACAAATGAGGAGGAAGCTCAAGACACTTCTAAGATGACCGAATCTTATTTTGAAGAAGATGATATTTTTAACGCTCAGAAAGATGACAAACAATACCAGTGGGGATTTTCCGAAGTGGAACACCACAGCCGAAAAAAAAGAGTTGGAGAGCACATGTCCGATGTAAAAGCCAAAGTATTTTCTGAGCCGTACAAAAGAATAAAAGAGAAAAGAAGCTTAGACAGCAGTATCAAGGTTAAAGTAGATCACCATGACATTCCAAAATCCCAAATAAAAAAAGGTTTGTCATTGCATTCGGCGATATCGGAAAAAGAAGCCAGCAAAGAAGAAAAATGGCAGGACAGCAAGATAAAAGACAGATTTGCTGGAGTGGAAGTCATAATTGTGAAAGAGAAAAACTTACCATCTCCATGCAAAGTATCACCAGTACCAAAAAGAGATCAAATGATTAAACCTGAAATATTTAAGACTCCGATTGGGACAACGGAAGTAAAGACTCAAATGCTTCCACAGCATTTAGAAACTGGTGTTCAAACTAAACTTCAAGTGGACATTGATGTTCCAAGTTCCAAAAAAGAACTTGAAGCTAAAAGTACATATACAGCTACCTCTCACACAGACAACATTGCTGTGAGTGAAAATGGTTTAAGGGGTCTTCATACTAATTTAAAATTGAACATGCAAGATTCCATAGGTGTTTATACAAAAGAAAATGTAAGTACTAGCTATATATCTCTCACAAACACTGACACTGTCGATGATTATATTGAAAAACAATTTATAGAATCAGAAAAAGACAGATTGATTGAAATGGGTAACAAAAATGACGAGTTGAACAATGATTTTTCTCTTGATTATAAAGATGATGGGTGGAAAGTGAACATTCCTGTGTTCCAAATGCCACCAACTGGCATCTCAGAACAAGATGAATCATATCGCAAAGCGGTAGAGCCTTCATCTGAAGGAAAGCCAGCAGATTTGCAGCCAGTGTCTGGTTGGAAATTGCAAATGCCAATTATTAAAATGCCCAAGTTGCCAAAGCTACACAGAAAATCAGTTAGGTCTGAATATAATAACCGATCAACTACTAATGTAAATGTTGATATTATGAAAATCAATGAAATGAATAGACAGAAGATGGGTTCTCTTGGGCAGTTGGATGCTCCATTAACAGGGGTGATAGCTGAGGACCAATCAATAGTAAGGAATAAAGGAGAAGTTGAAGTTGATGGGTATAAATTGAGTTCTATAGACAGCCAAACCACGGTTTTGAAAAACGATTCACATACTTTTACAGATGACGTAAGCTCTATTTCAGACTTAGAAGTGTCAAAGTTGAAAATTCAAAAAGACAAAGACACATTTACAGAAACCCCATCAACTGAAGGTGCAAAACTCAAATCCATTCTACATGAACCTACAATACAAGATTTACAAAGGGACCTTGGTGAAGGGGAGTCATTTGATGATAAAATAAATGTGCCTTCATGTCCGATGGCCGAATTAGACCCATCAATTATTGACTTAATTTCATCAGTAGGAGATGAACATGGAAAAGAGTTTATAATGGATTATGAAATGAAATCCACAAATGTTGAGGACAGAAACAAGGAAGGTTCATATAAGATGCCAAAATTTAAAGTGCCATCTTTTGGTTCATTTACAACAAAAATAGACATTACTGAAGACAAAGCAGGAGTGAAAACTAGCAAGGAGCAATCCAATAAAATAGTGAGTGAGATTAAAGATGTAGACGATGGAATGTATGATACAACTGAAGTACATTCCGAGACAGAAAAAAGCGTAGGTAAAAAGGGTAAAATTAAATTGCCTAAAATTGGAGTGTCATTTCCTAAAATGAAGATTCAGAGTGGCCAATACAATGTTTCTAAAACTGAGCAACATTCAAGTGGTGATGAGTTTAAGGAAATTAAAAATGTGGGCACCTTTAAAACCATTCAGGAAGATACAGACATGTTGATTACAATTTCAAGTTTAGATACGGAAAGTGAGTTAAATGTTTCAGACATGAAAGATGGTGATATTCAAAGTGAAATTTCTAAAACATTAAGTGATGATAAAGAATACTCACACCCTGTTGTATTTCCACATTTTCAAATACCTACATTTGGTTTGGTAGAAGTAGGAGAAAATCAAGATTATTCAGAAGGACTGAAACAAACAGGTACTATTGAGCTCCCTGAAGCTGAAGTAAGTGTAGATGAAAAAGATATAGCTCTTGAGGTTCCATCTGTGGACATTCAAAGAAATGACACACAGGACAGCAAAAACTTTCTAAATTGGAAAGCCAAAAAGCCCCTAATAAGTATACCCATACTGGACTTGTCTCTCAAAAAAATGGATATTTCAGTTAAAAAGGAGGATACATGCGGTAAGGAAGATGTAATTACTGAATGTAAGGAAGAAGAGATGGAAAGGCAAGACAGTCATTTCAAGCTTCCCACCTTCAAATTACCTTCATTTAGTTTAACAAGATCTAAACTAAAATCAAACTATTTGGTTGGTGAAGTAAGTGAACAGAGTGTTCAAGAGACTTCTCAGGATATTGAAAATACAGTTAAACCCCAGATCCAAAAATATACACTATCAAGTGATTTAAGTACGGATATATCTGAAAGTATTACTGTTGTAAGTCAAGAAATAATACCTTCTGAAGTACAGACTGGGGGTATTTCTGAAATAACTTATACAAATCATGAGAAAATTGGAATTATACCAACCGACATGAACTCCGAAAGCAAAATAACATCTTTAGTTATGACAAGTACGACAGCAACGATTCAAGAACCTGGAGAAGCAGTCATTCGTGGAGAAGAGATACCTGTAATTTTTCCTCGTTTCCGAATTCCAAAAATAAGTGTTGTGGTCTCTGAACAACGAAAGGAACCAACAGGAGAATTAGACAAAAAGACAACATTGGAGGTGTCCAGCTTAGAAGTGACTGGAAATATTGAAACAATTCATAGAGTGAGTGATTCAGTATTGGAGAGCAATATTGAAAATCAGCAGGCAGATGAAGAGCCTGGAGGCTTTAATTTAAATGTCCAGACACTTAAAACACAAACAATTTATACAACTGATGAAATCGCTCATGCTGATGTCTCATTTGTAGATACAACGTATGAAACAAGCAGATTTAAAGAGAAAGCAGATATGCAGTTAGATGAAAAAACAGACATAATATCAGGAGAAACTAGCAAACAAAAGCAGGACAGCCCTTTTAAGCTACCATCTTTTAAATTGTCTTCAATTGGCTTAGTTGGATTAAAGACAAAATCTAGTCAGGAGGATGCAAGCAAAGAAAACAAAAGTTTTGCAGTTCAAGTTCCAGATGCTGACAGTGGTAATACAAAAGAAAAACTTAAAACTAAATTAACAAAGAGTAAGAAAAAGAAAAGTCATGAGTCCAAGGAAGAGAAAATAAAGAGTGATCATTTAGAACTGCAGGATACGGAAGGAAAAACGGACATTCCATTAACTACACAAAACACATTACTTACCTTTGATACAAAGGATCAGATCACTACAGAAAAACAGCAGGCAGGATTGTTTATACTTAAGAAACAACTGCCAAAAGTCAAGATGCCGAAAGTAGAAATATTTAGTCCATTTAGTACAGGATCAATACCTAGCAGGCAAGCCGAAGACATCGGACTTGAAAGTGATCATACTTCACATCCAGTATTGGAAGGAACTATAGATACATCAGTTGAATTGAACGCAGTTCCCCCTCAAAAAAATTATGATGAAGAAAAACCAATTAGTGCAAAGAAGTCTTCCAAAGATGAAAACATTAGGAATCTAAAGCCAGAAGATCTTGTCCATGATAGCAGAGACTTACAAAGTGATTTTGCTACAAAAGGACTAAAAATAAACATGAGTTCTAATGTAAATTTGGAAGATATTATTAAAGACAGTGAAGATGTAAATGAGGAAGAAGAAGAAAGAGAGTTCACATTAATCCATGAGAATGGAAGCACCAAGAGAGAAAAGACAACTGGTACAACCGGTTATCTCCCAAAAGTCAAACTCCCTGCTTTTAAAATACCATTTTTTGGCAAAGCTGAATCAAAAGAAAAAACTGATACCAGTTATTCGAGACATGGAATTAATGAAGCAAAAAAGGAACTAATAAGTTCAAAACATACAACTGAGTCAATAACAAAGGATACAGAGCGCAGGGAAGAATTAATGTGTAAATTTGAAGTTGAAGAAAATACAGAAATTAGTGAACAAGATTTGAGGACTAAAACTTCAGACAAAATTGTAGATGTGGACCTTACACAAAAAGCTATACAAATGAAATTACCAATCTTAAAAATACCACAATTCGGCACAACAGAAATGAAAACAGACATTGTTGCAGTTGACACTCATGAAGTGTTGCCTGAAACAGCCAAAGAAGAAATATCTAAAGAAAAGACAGAAATCTCAACCGACACATCTGAAATATTGCAAGTTTCCACAATGCAAATTACAAAATTAACCGTAACTGAAGTAGAAGGCTCATCTGTGGATACAGAGGGGAAAATTGTTGAAGAAAAGGAGTCAGAGTGGAAAATGGCAACAGACAAAATCCCATTGGTTAGTAGAACTGAAGAAATACACATCTCACGTGCTACAGATAAAACTGTGGGGAAGGAAGAAGATCTCAAGATTGAAGACGAATTGATAAAGACTGAGTTTGTGAGCATGGAAAAACCTGAAGAAGTAGAATTTGAGAAGCAAGAAGTTACTTCCATAGTGACATCAGTTATTCACACCACCACAACAGGGACAACAAGCTTTGTTGCAGATGAAGAAGAGGTTGTAAGCAAGAAGGAAGGATTAGAAGTTGAGGAAGAAGAAAAAGAAGAAGCAGAATTTAAATCGGAGGACACAGACAAACTATCACCCACAGAAGAGACTGCCAAATCAAAAGGAAAAGGGAAAAAGCATCGGAAGAAGATTACAAAGATAGAGAAAACCGTTACTAGACAAATAAGCCCACTAGATGAGACTGTACCTGCATTTGCCGAACAAGGCATATCCACTTCTGAAATAAAAATAGAAGCTGAGGAAACGGATTCCAAACCTCTATTAACTGAGGCAGAGGTTGAGATTATAACTGAAAAACAGAAGACAGAAACAACCACAACATCAATAATAACTGAAACATGTAGAGTGGAGGATTCTGCAGATATTGTAGAGGAAATCTTTGATGCTGCACAAGTAAAACAAGACATTTCCACAGTGGAAGCTAAAGTAGATGGTGAAGAAGAATCGCATGGGTGGGGTATTAGTTTACCTTCATTTAAACTACCATTCTTTAGCAAATCTGAAACTAAAGCAGACCTTGATATCAGCGAATCCAAAAAAGAAGTAATTGAAACAGAAGGTAAAATAACAATTTCCAAACGGGTAACAGAATTTGTAACTGAAACAACAGAAGAATCCACAACTAAAAAGGAAGAAGTGGTAGAAATAACAGAAATTGAAGAGGAAAGTGTTGATAAAGAAGAGGAACCATCAGCTGGCAAAATGCTATTCCCAACCTTTAAACTGCCACAATTTGGCACATCACAAATTAAAACAGACATTGTTGCAGTTGACACTCATGAAGTGTTGCCTGAAACAGCCAAAGAAGAAATATCTAAAGAAAAGACAGAAATCTCAACCGACACATCTGAAATATTGCAAGTTTCCACAATGCAAATTACAAAATTAACCGTAACTGAAGTAGAAGGCTCATCTGTGGATACAGAGGGGAAAATTGTTGAAGAAAAGGAGTCAGAGTGGAAAATGGCAACAGACAAAATCCCATTGGTTAGTAGAACTGAAGAAATACACATCTCACGTGCTACAGATAAAACTGTGGGGAAGGAAGAAGATCTCAAGATTGAAGACGAATTGATAAAGACTGAGTTTGTGAGCATGGAAAAACCTGAAGAAGTAGAATTTGAGAAGCAAGAAGTTACTACCATAGTGACATCAGTTATTCACACCACCACAACAGGGACAACAAGCTTTGTTGCAGATGAAGAAGAGGTTGTAAGCAAGAAGGAAGGATTAGAAGTTGAGGAAGAAGAAAAAGAAGAAGCAGAATTTAAATCGGAGGACACAGACAAAGTATCACCCACAGAAGAGACTGCCAAATCAAAAGGAAAAGGGAAAAAGCATCGGAAGAAGATTACAAAGATAGAGAAAACCGTTACTAGACAAATAAGCCCACTAGATGAGACTGTACCTGCATTTGCCGAACAAGGCATATCCACTTCTGAAATAAAAATAGAAGCTGAGGAAACGGATTCCAAACCTCTATTAACTGAGGCAGAGGTTGAGATTATAACTGAAAAACAGAAGACAGAAACAACCACAACATCAATAATAACTGAAACATGTAGAGTGGAGGATTCTGCAGATATTGTAGAGGAAATCTTTGATGCTGCACAAGTAAAACAAGACATTTCCACAGTGGAAGCTAAAGTAGATGGTGAAGAAGAATCGCATGGGTGGGGTATTAGTTTACCTTCATTTAAACTACCATTCTTTAGCAAATCTGAAACTAAAGCAGACCTTGATATCAGCGAATCCAAAAAAGAAGTCATTGAAACAGAAGGTAAAATAACAATTTCCAAACGGGTAACAGAATTTGTAACTGAAACAACAGAAGAATCCACAACTAAAAAGGAAGAAGTGGTAGAAATAACAGAAATTGAAGAGGAAAGTGTTGATAAAGAAGAGGAACCATCAGCTGGCAAAATGCTATTCCCAACCTTTAAACTGCCACAATTTGGCACATCACAAATTAAAACAGACATTGTTGCAGTTGACACTCATGAAGTGTTGCCTGAAACAGCCAAAGAAGAAATATCTAAAGAAAAGACAGAAATCTCAACCGACACATCTGAAATATTGCAAGTTTCCACAATGCAAATTACAAAATTAACCGTAACTGAAGTAGAAGGCTCATCTGTGGATACAGAGGGGAAAATTGTTGAAGAAAAGGAGTCAGAGTGGAAAATGGCAACAGACAAAATCCCATTGGTTAGTAGAACTGAAGAAATACACATCTCACGTGCTACAGATAAAACTGTGGGGAAGGAAGAAGATCTCAAGATTGAAGACGAATTGATAAAGACTGAGTTTGTGAGCATGGAAAAACCTGAAGAAGTAGAATTTGAGAAGCAAGAAGTTACTACCATAGTGACATCAGTTATTCACACCACCACAACAGGGACAACAAGTTTTGTTGCAGATGAAGAAGAGGTTGTAAGCAAGAAGGAAGGATTAGAAGTTGAGGAAGAAGAAAAAGAAGAAGCAGAATTTAAATCGGAGGACACAGACAAAGTATCACCCACAGAAGAGACTGCCAAATCAAAAGGAAAAGGGAAAAAGCATCGGAAGAAGATTACAAAGATAGAGAAAACCGTTACTAGACAAATAAGCCCACTAGATGAGACTGTACCTGCATTTGCCGAACAAGGCATATCCACTTCTGAAATAAAAATAGAAGCTGAGGAAACGGATTCCAAACCTCTATTAACTGAGGCAGAGGTTGAGATTATAACTGAAAAACAGAAGACAGAAACAACCACAACATCAATAATAACTGAAACATGTAGAGTGGAGGATTCTGCAGGCATTGTAGAGGAAATCTTTGATGCTGCACAAGTAAAACAAGACATTTCCACAGTGGAAGCTAAAGTAGATAGTGAAGAAGAATCGCATGGGTGGGGTATTAGTTTACCTTCATTTAAACTACCATTCTTTACCAAATCTGAAACTAAAGCAGACCTTGATATCAGCGAATCCAAAAAAGAAGTAATTGAAACAGAAGGTAAAATAACAATTTCCAAACGGGTAACAGAATTTGTAACTGAAACAACAGAAGAATCCACAACTAAAAAGGAAGAAGTGGTAGAAATAACAGAAATTGAAGAGGAAAGTGTTGATAAAGAAGAGGAACCATCAGCTGGCAAAATGCTATTCCCAACCTTTAAACTGCCACAATTTGGCACATCACAAATTAAAACAGACATTGTTGCAGTTGACACTCATGAAGTGTTGCCTGAAACAGCCAAAGAAGAAATATCTAAAGAAAAGACAGAAATCTCACCCGACACATCTGAAATATTGCAAGTTTCCACAATGCAAATTACAAAATTAACCGTAACTGAAGTAGAAGGCTCATCTGTGGATACAGAGGGGAAAATTGTTGAAGAAAAGGAGTCAGAGTGGAAAATGGCAACAGACAAAATCCCATTGGTTAGTAGAACTGAAGAAATACACATCTCACGTGCTACAGATAAAACTGTGGGGAAGGAAGAAGATCTCAAGATTGAAGACGAATTGATAAAGACTGAGTTTGTGAGCATGGAAAAACCTGAAGAAGTAGAATTTGAGAAGCAAGAAGTTACTTCCATAGTGACATCAGTTATTCACACCACCACAACAGGGACAACAAGCTTTGTTGCAGATGAAGAAGAGGTTGTAAGCAAGAAGGAAGGATTAGAAGTTGAGGAAGAAGAAAAAGAAGAAGCAGAATTTAAATCGGAGGACACAGACAAAGTATCACCCACAGAAGAGGCTGCCAAATCAAAAGGAAAAGGGAAAAAGCATCGGAAGAAGATTACAAAGATAGAGAAAACCGTTACTAGACAAATAAGCCCACTAGATGAGACTGTACCTGCATTTGCCGAACAAGGCATATCCACTTCTGAAATAAAAATAGAAGCTGAGGAAACAGATTCCAAACCTCTATTAACTGAGGCAGAGGTTGAGATTATAACTGAAAAACAGAAGACAGAAACAACCACAACATCAATAATAACTGAAACATGTAGAGTGGAGGATTCTGCAGATATTGTAGAGGAAATCTTTGATGCTGCACAAGTAAAACAAGACATTTCCACAGTGGAAGCTAAAGTAGATGGTGAAGAAGAATCGCATGGGTGGGGTATTAGTTTACCTTCATTTAAACTACCATTCTTTAGCAAATCTGAAACTAAAGCAGACCTTGATATCAGCGAATCCAAAAAAGAAGTCATTGAAACAGAAGGTAAAATAACAATTTCCAAACGGGTAACAGAATTTGTAACTGAAACAACAGAAGAATCCACAACTAAAAAGGAAGAAGTGGTAGAAATAACAGAAATTGAAGAGGAAAGTGTTGATAAAGAAGAGGAACCATCAGCTGGCAAAATGCTATTCCCAACCTTTAAACTGCCACAATTTGGCACATCACAAATTAAAACAGACATTGTTGCAGTTGACACTCATGAAGTGTTGCCTGAAACAGCCAAAGAAGAAATATCTAAAGAAAAGACAGAAATCTCACCCGACACATCTGAAATATTGCAAGTTTCCACAATGCAAATTACAAAATTAACCGTAACTGAAGTAGAAGGCTCATCTGTGGATACAGAGGGGAAAATTGTTGAAGAAAAGGAGTCAGAGTGGAAAATGGCAACAGACAAAATCCCATTGGTTAGTAGAACTGAAGAAATACACATCTCACGTGCTACAGATAAAACTGTGGGGAAGGAAGAAGATCTCAAGATTGAAGACGAATTGATAAAGACTGAGTTTGTGAGCATGGAAAAACCTGAAGAAGTAGAATTTGAGAAGCAAGAAGTTACTTCCATAGTGACATCAGTTATTCACACCACCACAACAGGGACAACAAGCTTTGTTGCAGATGAAGAAGAGGTTGTAAGCAAGAAGGAAGGATTAGAAGTTGAGGAAGAAGAAAAAGAAGAAGCAGAATTTAAATCGGAGGACACAGACAAACTATCACCCACAGAAGAGACTGCCAAATCAAAAGGAAAAGGGAAAAAGCATCGGAAGAAGATTACAAAGATAGAGAAAACCGTTACTAGACAAATAAGCCCACTAGATGAGACTGTACCTGCATTTGCCGAACAAGGCATATCCACTTCTGAAATAAAAATAGAAGCTGAGGAAACGGATTCCAAACCTCTATTAACTGAGGCAGAGGTTGAGATTATAACTGAAAAACAGAAGACAGAAACAACCACAACATCAATAATAACTGAAACATGTAGAGTGGAGGATTCTGCAGATATTGTAGAGGAAATCTTTGATGCTGCACAAGTAAAACAAGACATTTCCACAGTGGAAGCTAAAGTAGATGGTGAAGAAGAATCGCATGGGTGGGGTATTAGTTTACCTTCATTTAAACTACCATTCTTTAGCAAATCTGAAACTAAAGCAGACCTTGATATCAGCGAATCCAAAAAAGAAGTCATTGAAACAGAAGGTAAAATAACAATTTCCAAACGGGTAACAGAATTTGTAACTGAAACAACAGAAGAATCCACAACTAAAAAGGAAGAAGTGGTAGAAATAACAGAAATTGAAGAGGAAAGTGTAGATAAAGAAGAGGAACCATCAGCTGGCAAAATGCTATTCCCAACCTTTAAACTGCCACAATTTGGCACATCACAAATTAAAACAGACATTGTTGCAGTTGACACTCATGAAGTGTTGCCTGAAACAGCCAAAGAAGAAATATCTAAAGAAAAGACAGAAATCTCAACCGACACATCTGAAATATTGCAAGTTTCCACAATGCAAATTACAAAATTAACCGTAACTGAAGTAGAAGGCTCATCTGTGGATACAGAGGGGAAAATTGTTGAAGAAAAGGAGTCAGAGTGGAAAATGGCAACAGACAAAATCCCATTGGTTAGTAGAACTGAAGAAATACACATCTCACGTGCTACAGATAAAACTGTGGGGAAGGAAGAAGATCTCAAGATTGAAGACGAATTGATAAAGACTGAGTTTGTGAGCATGGAAAAACCTGAAGAAGTAGAATTTGAGAAGCAAGAAGTTACTCCATAGTGACATCAGTTATTCACACCACCACAACAGGGACAACAAGCTTTGTTGCAGATGAAGAAGAGGTTGTAAGCAAGAAGGAAGGATTAGAAGTTGAGGAAGAAGAAAAAGAAGAAGCAGAATTTAAATCGGAGGACACAGACAAACTATCACCCACAGAAGAGACTGCCAAATCAAAAGGAAAAGGGAAAAAGCATCGGAAGAAGATTACAAAGATAGAGAAAACCGTTACTAGACAAATAAGCCCACTAGATGAGACTGTACCTGCATTTGCCGAACAAGGCATATCCACTTCTGAAATAAAAATAGAAGCTGAGGAAACGGATTCCAAACCTCTATTAACTGAGGCAGAGGTTGAGATTATAACTGAAAAACAGAAGACAGAAACAACCACAACATCAATAATAACTGAAACATGTAGAGTGGAGGATTCTGCAGATATTGTAGAGGAAATCTTTGATGCTGCACAAGTAAAACAAGACATTTCCACAGTGGAAGCTAAAGTAGATGGTGAAGAAGAATCGCATGGGTGGGGTATTAGTTTACCTTCATTTAAACTACCATTCTTTAGCAAATCTGAAACTAAAGCAGACCTTGATATCAGCGAATCCAAAAAAGAAGTAATTGAAACAGAAGGTAAAATAACAATTTCCAAACGGGTAACAGAATTTGTAACTGAAACAACAGAAGAATCCACAACTAAAAAGGAAGAAGTGGTAGAAATAACAGAAATTGAAGAGGAAAGTGTTGATAAAGAAGAGGAACCATCAGCTGGCAAAATGCTATTCCCAACCTTTAAACTGCCACAATTTGGCACATCACAAATTAAAACAGACATTGTTGCAGTTGACACTCATGAAGTGTTGCCTGAAACAGCCAAAGAAGAAATATCTAAAGAAAAGACAGAAATCTCACCCGACACATCTGAAATATTGCAAGTTTCCACAATGCAAATTACAAAATTAACCGTAACTGAAGTAGAAGGCTCATCTGTGGATACAGAGGGGAAAATTGTTGAAGAAAAGGAGTCAGAGTGGAAAATGGCAACAGACAAAATCCCATTGGTTAGTAGAACTGAAGAAATACACATCTCACGTGCTACAGATAAAACTGTGGGGAAGGAAGAAGATCTCAAGATTGAAGACGAATTGATAAAGACTGAGTTTGTGAGCATGGAAAAACCTGAAGAAGTAGAATTTGAGAAGCAAGAAGTTACTACCATAGTGACATCAGTTATTCACACCACCACAACAGGGACAACAAGCTTTGTTGCAGATGAAGAAGAGGTTGTAAGCAAGAAGGAAGGATTAGAAGTTGAGGAAGAAGAAAAAGAAGAAGCAGAATTTAAATCGGAGGACACAGACAAAGTATCACCCACAGAAGAGACTGCCAAATCAAAAGGAAAAGGGAAAAAGCATCGGAAGAAGATTACAAAGATAGAGAAAACCGTTACTAGACAAATAAGCCCACTAGATGAGACTGTACCTGCATTTGCCGAACAAGGCATATCCACTTCTGAAATAAAAATAGAAGCTGAGGAAACGGATTCCAAACCTCTATTAACTGAGGCAGAGGTTGAGATTATAACTGAAAAACAGAAGACAGAAACAACCACAACATCAATAATAACTGAAACATGTAGAGTGGAGGATTCTGCAGATATTGTAGAGGAAATCTTTGATGCTGCACAAGTAAAACAAGACATTTCCACAGTGGAAGCTAAAGTAGATGGTGAAGAAGAATCGCATGGGTGGGGTATTAGTTTACCTTCATTTAAACTACCATTCTTTAGCAAATCTGAAACTAAAGCAGACCTTGATATCAGCGAATCCAAAAAAGAAGTCATTGAAACAGAAGGTAAAATAACAATTTCCAAACGGGTAACAGAATTTGTAACTGAAACAACAGAAGAATCCACAACTAAAAAGGAAGAAGTGGTAGAAATAACAGAAATTGAAGAGGAAAGTGTTGATAAAGAAGAGGAACCATCAGCTGGCAAAATGCTATTCCCAACCTTTAAACTGCCACAATTTGGCACATCACAAATTAAAACAGACATTGTTGCAGTTGACACTCATGAAGTGTTGCCTGAAACAGCCAAAGAAGAAATATCTAAAGAAAAGACAGAAATCTCAACCGACACATCTGAAATATTGCAAGTTTCCACAATGCAAATTACAAAATTAACCGTAACTGAAGTAGAAGGCTCATCTGTGGATACAGAGGGGAAAATTGTTGAAGAAAAGGAGTCAGAGTGGAAAATGGCAACAGACAAAATCCCATTGGTTAGTAGAACTGAAGAAATACACATCTCACGTGCTACAGATAAAACTGTGGGGAAGGAAGAAGATCTCAAGATTGAAGACGAATTGATAAAGACTGAGTTTGTGAGCATGGAAAAACCTGAAGAAGTAGAATTTGAGAAGCAAGAAGTTACTTCCATAGTGACATCAGTTATTCACACCACCACAACAGGGACAACAAGCTTTGTTGCAGATGAAGAAGAGGTTGTAAGCAAGAAGGAAGGATTAGAAGTTGAGGAAGAAGAAAAAGAAGAAGCAGAATTTAAATCGGAGGACACAGACAAACTATCACCTACAGAAGAGACTGCCAAATCAAAAGGAAAAGGGAAAAAGCATCGGAAGAAGATTACAAAGATAGAGAAAACCGTTACTAGACAAATAAGCCCACTAGATGAGACTGTACCTGCATTTGCCGAACAAGGCATATCCACTTCTGAAATAAAAATAGAAGCTGAGGAAACGGATTCCAAACCTCTATTAACGGAGGCAGAGTTTGAGATTATAACTGAAAAACAGAAGACAGAAACAACTACAACATCAATGCATCATATAGAAACATCTACAGAACTTTTAGATTCTGAGAAAGAAAATGCTGTTTTAACAGAGATCACTGATACTCTTGGAAATAAATTATTTTTAAGATCACATGAATATAAAGTCATTAAATCAACACAATCTATGTCTACTCAAAGAACAGGTATCACAGTTTTAGAAGAAAATATAAATGTCACTGACAAAGACAGCAAGTCACATCAAGTTGACACCTTATTTCAAGTGGAGCAAAAAACTGCAAATACTGCTGAAGTAGTGTGGGTTGATCCAAGTCTGGATACTACTTTACATACTTTGAAAGATGATAAACAGATGTATTATACCTCATCTTCAGTTTCCGATTTAAAGCAAGATGATATAAATACTGGTAACATTCCTCAGCAGCCTGTTATCTCAGTTGACACAAAAACAATTAGACTGAAACACCCTCGTTTGTCAGTTTCTGTCCTTGAAGAAAGCATTCACATTGCAGATGATGACATCAAAACAACTGCCGTTGAACAGTCTCCTGGTTCAACTATAGTACTGGAAAGCAGTGATACAATACAAAATTATAAACTGTCCGACATTGACCAACTACAGTCCCCTGAATCTGATACTGGCAAAATAGTGTTTTCTCATTTTTCTACACCAAAATTTAAAATTGCTGTTAGAGAAGAAAGTATTTGTATAGAAGATGTAGACGACACAACACGTAAGCTTGAGTTTTCCACTGCAGAAGAAAGTGTTGAAACAGCATCTTTTGAAGAAACAGAGACAGTTAAAAGAGTGCAAGATGGAACAGAATCTACATCATGGAAATTTAGTATTCCAGCAGTAAAAATGCCAATGTTGACCAAATCTGATGCAATTATTGAAAGCAGTGATTTTGATGCTGATATACTATCTAAGGATGGGGCTTCCAATAAATCTGAGGCTCAAGATACATTTAAAACAAAAATGGATGTTGTACAGACTGATGAAAAGCGCAAAAGCGCATTCAAATTGCCCTCTTTTAAATTGCCATCTCTTAGTCTTAGAGGGAAGAAGGAGAAGTCCAATGATGATTTAGATAGGGCAAATGAGAAAAGTGATATAGATTTGCTAAATAAGCATGTGGTCATTAACAAGGAAACACCCCCGACATACGTATCGTCAACAGATGCAGAAGTAACAGTCAACCTTGACCAATTTAAAATGTCCAGCAGGCAAAAACAACCAAAGGCAGATGTTGATATGGAAAAAGAAAAGACACATTTCATTACAAAGGAAGAACAAAGTAAGTTCAAGTTGCCAAAATTGGAGTTTTCTAAACTTACTGTAAAAGGTTCAACGGGCAGTGCAAATGTCCGTACAGAGCCACCTGAAAGTAGAACTGGGGAATCTGGGGAACTCCAGAGGTCAACTGACACTCACCCTGGTGGCCTACCCCCAGATATATTTTTTGAAGGAAAGGATGTTGATCAGTATGAAGAAGAAATTGAGATTAAATACCCTTTTTTCAAAATGCCAGCATTTTCAATTATTGAAAACAAAGACGTTACAGAAGATATGGAAAGAATAAATGACAATCCTGAAATGCATCTTACAGCTATCCAAGTTGATTCCTCAAGTTTTGATACAAATAAGGGTATTACAATCAATACAGACAGCGCCGAATTAGGTGAAAGCAGAATAAAACCAACAAGAACAAAATTTAAATTACCTAAAGTGAAATTGCCTGTTCTGTCATTTTCTGATCCCCAAAATGACGATGAAACATTTGACATTACTGCTCATCATGAAGAGGTTGACTTTGTTCTCTTGGACTACGATTTAACAAATAAAGAAGAAACTCAAGCGGTTGACATAAGCTGCATAGCTAATCAATCTGTCCTTGATGACACAGAAAAACTTCAAACAGAATTTAACGAAATGTCAAATACAAACATGGAGGTGATCACTGAAGTTAAAAATGTGAAAGAGACAGAAAAGATGGATTATGAAACTAAACAGGTAAATACGTCTCCCTTTTCCAAAATAATATCTAAAGTTTCAGATGACTTATCTTTGGTGCAAGACGAAAATATAAAAGAAGTTGGAAGTAAAATAAATATAACAATAGAGAAGACGGAAGTGAAAACATCCACAGAGTCTTCAAGTAATAAAAGCATACGTGATGAAAGTGAAATCACAGATAAAGTCAAATTGTCTGAAACAAAAGTGCTTAAGTATGACTTGCCATCATTTGTGGAATCTTCACAGATAGTTGTAGCCGATGACCTTAAAGTTGAGCCAAAAGGATTTCAGTTAGACAGACATGTTGAAAAAATGGAAACAGATCAAAACGTGTATAAAAGTGAAGAAAGATCTGAAACAAATAGAACAGTAGCTGGGAATGTAGTATCGTTTTCTTCTGAAATAGTGAAAGAATACGAGATTTCCTCATCCGAAATTAAAACTACTAAATTAGGGTTTTCACTGTTCAAGGTCAAACTCCCAGAAGCGCAGAGCAACATTGATATACAAGATCCGGAAAGGCAGGTGGGATTTGATACATGTGAAACTGAAGATAAATTAATCATTCCTGAGGAGATCGGTGCAGAAAATTCTCAAGAGTTAGTGCAATCCACATCGGAAGCAAGTAAAACGATACAAATGGTAGCCTCAACAGCCCATGTTCCTATACGAAAGTCTTTTACATTTGAAGTTAAGTCATCCAAGCAGAAGGAGGAAACTCATTTCACTCTGCAATCAAAAGCTGCATCAATATCAGAAACTACTGATGATAAAGATTCAACTGTTCATCCTGAAGAGGAGGTAAAAGAGCAAACACCAACTCTGAAGTCACCGAGCAGATTTCTATCTTGGTTTCCTAGCATTGGATTTTCTACTTCAGTCGATGGAAATGAAACCCAAAAGGATGTACAAGAAGAACAATCTCAAGAATCCAAGCCGGACAAAGTTTCATCAGGAACCAAAGAAAAAACCTCATGGTTTAAATTTCCAAAATTAGCGTTTTCTTCTTCTAGTGATAAACCAAAGTCAGTTGATAGAGAAGCAGAACTACCTCTTGAAAAGCCAAAAGAAAAATCCAAAATTGTGACACCAACACAATCTGGCAACAAAGACACATCGGAATCAGGGACAAGTTCAACAGATACTAAACCAAAGCAATGAATCAAAATAAATTCTATTTCTACCAAACAATAACTAATTGTGACGAGGATAAAAAGCTTAGCTAAGTACTATAAAGGATATTTTCAGATACGCAAACGGTCAATAATGCTGGAAGAGTTTAGTGAGATGACTAAAACACTTGAAGCAACGTTAAAAAAAACCTTATTTTTTTTTTCTCTTCATCCGTTGGTTTAGTAAATAGACTTCATACTGAATAATAAAAGAATCATCGATAACATTTACGATTATGCATAACTAAAGTTTTAAAAACAAGTAGTGGTACAAACAAAATAAATATCATACATGAAATTGTAAGAGACGAGGCTCTATGATATTAGTATAGGAATAAACATAAGAATTATATGAAAGTGACACTATAGTCACCAGAACAACTACAACTTATTGTAGACCATATAGTGTTCCTTTAAATGATACAATTAAAGACAACTAATAAACAATTTTACATTCACCTTTACATGCTATCAAATTCTAACAGAGGTTTTAAAAATAAAAAAATCTATGTGAAATCTTTACAAGACAATAATCGAGGATCTTTCTTACACCGAGCAGAGCATACAGTATATCTAATTTTATAATAATTGCTTTATGGAATTTTTTTATTTATATGCTACTTGCTTATGTTTTAGCTATCTTAATAATCGATCATCCTATTGTAAACTATGGCATGCTCAACAACCATATTGTTCAATCCCTTGTTATATACTATTAGTTGGATAAGCTTTACAAACCAGTTTAACAACCATATTTTCATTTCTTAACATTAATCCTTTTACCATTGGTCTTCTCTCACAATCTGCACCTAATAACTAAATTATCTCACTGAACATTTAGCATCAACAGGAGTCCAGAAATCTTTTGATCCTAATATAGTTATTTGCTTAAAGATACACTCCAGACCTCAAAATCACTTTATCTTGCATTTGTGCTTTATGTGTCAAGAGTGTGACCTCTTTTTTTCCATTTTACGAAAAGTGCAGATTGCAATAGAAATTGGCCCTTTTATAAATTAACTTGTTACACTTCCTGGCAGTGAATCAGATAACTGGTTCGTTACTTCCTGGTAGTTTAGATTAGTGGAGCTAAACCCAAAAGGCAGAAAATGCCTTGCAAGGACTTCTCATTGACCTGAATTGGACAGCCTCAGAAAGTGTAGGCGTGGTTAGAATAGTAAGGAATTCAAAGGCTTCAAATAAGATAGCAGCAGCTTATGCAAGCTGTTTTTAGATACATCCACAATAAAAATATGCAAAATTAAACGCATGCATTATTTTCACTGGGGATGTATCTACTAAACAGTTATTGTATATATTTTTTTTATTTGGGCAGTGCAGTGTCCCTTTGACTGTGAATTATTTAGAATTGATTCTGAATTCAAAGTGAATTAAAAATTTCTGAACATGGGTCAAATTGGAAATAGATGACTTTGTTTTCAATTTGTCTAGTTTGGTTTAGAATTTGAAATTCACTTTGCATTTCAGACAACACACACTTTAGTTAATAACCCTGTAAATATGCCATTGTTGTATATAGTGCTTACCTCTGTTATAACAGGTGAATTTCTAGGACTGACATGATACAATGATAACATTACATAAATGTATAACAGCAACTAAAGCTATTGGATATATCATATGTTTTTGATAAATTATATGTCAAGTTGAAAAGAAAAGGAAAAATAAGTGTTTGGTGCCTCCAATGAGAAATGAAAGGAAAAAAAAACACACAGAATTTTGTTCATCACAAAAAATAATTTACAAATTAGCTGTAGCACAACAAAAATAATAAAATAAATGTTAAAACACTGTTTAGAGTGTTCAAACAAACCTTATATTCACATTTGTGATCTCTAAAAAACACACAAGACATAGTGTAATCTATTAATCTAGAGCTGTGAGCAGGATCTGTTGAATTAAATTTATGGGTGCCCAAACAATACAATAAATCTCCAAGTAAAAGCTGATAAAAAAAAAAAGAAAGAAAAGAAAATCGTTGGTGCAATATAGTATTGTACACAAGGAATTACATCAATTGAGAAGAATCAATCCTCCGGAGGTCTGTTTATTGGACTACTTGCACCCAATGGGACATACTTTGAGGAAGAAGAATCCATCCCCTCGAGGCTTTGTTATTGGACTACTTGCACCCAATGGGACATACTTTGAGGAAGAAGAATCAATCCCCTCGAGGCTTTGTTATTGGACTACTTGCACCCAATGGAACATACTTTGAGGAAGAAGAATCAATCCCCTTGAGGCTTTGTTATTGGACTACTTGCACCCAATGCGATATACTTTGAGGAAGAAGAATCAATCCCCTGGAGGCTTTGTTATTGGACTACTTGCACCCAATGGGACATACTTTCAGGAAGACTAATCAAACCAGTGGAGGCTTTTCTACTGGACTACTTTCACCCAATGGGATATACTTTGAGAAAGACAAATCAATCCCCCGGAGGCTTTGCTATTGGACTACTTGCACCCAATGGGACATAGTTTGAGGAAGATGAATCAATCCCCTGGAGGTTTTGTTATTAGACTACTTGGGCCCAATGACACATAATTTGATGACAACTAATCTAACCAGTGGAGGCTTTTCTATTGGACTATTTTCACCCAATAGGACATATTTTGAGAAAGACTAATCATTCTTCTGGAGGCTTTGTTATTAGCCTACTTGGGCTCAATGAGACATATTTTAAAGAAGACTAGTAACATCAACATGTGTTTAATAAGGAGAGGAAAGCCACTCTGAGGACTATTTGAATTTCCATAAATTCTGACATTTCAATTGGATGCCACTTGGTTTCTGTTGCAGTAAGGGGACTCTTCCTTCATGCCGTCTGTGTTTATTTTATATGAAAGTCACTGCTTTTGGTTTTAATAAATTGTGTCTATATTGAGTTTTCCTACTCTACTACTTTCCATTTGCTTTTACTAGCAGGTTTTATGTTCTAGTCTGGTGCAGACACCCATAACTTACATTCAACAGAGCATTCTCACAGCTTTTAAACAATTGAATAGTGTTTTTCATTAATTTAGAAAATAGATTACACTAGGTGTGTGTTTGTTTTTGTGTAATTTTTAGAGATCAGATGTGTGGAACATAAAACATTATGTTCATTTGAACACTCTAAATACGTTTTGTGCTTATATGCTTAGTTGAACCTGGAATGGCAGGTATTTATAGCAATAAAAGATATTAATATGTTGATGTCAAGACATGCAAGAACATAAATATTTAAAATCCTCCCCCAGTAATACTATTGAAGAGGATTGAGGTGCGGGTTAACAGGGATTGGTGAATTTTCTGTGTCAGAATGTTTGAGAATATCACTTGTAAATCTAGTCAAAATAAATGATCTGTCAGCATCTGTGGACAACTCCAATGTTACCCATTCAGTCTTAGTCCTAATACATATGATCACATGAGAATTCACAGCCCCTTTACAACAGTGGCCATGCTATAAATTTGTCCCAGCCTTTTCAATCTGCTGCTAGTGTTGCATCTTTCTAATGCTTAAATGAACGGCTTTTCAAAAGCCAAATCAGGAACTGCACTTATGCATGTATATATATATATAGAGAGAGAGTGAGAGACTTGAGTGTAACCAAACCAAGGGCCAGCACAATGACCCTAGAAATAGTTTGTAATAAAAAACAAAAACAAAAAAAAAGGTCCAGGCACTCCAAGACTTAGGCAAATTTATTTGAACCAAGGTGTCCAGCAGCAACGTTTCGACCAAAAGGTCTTTTTTTAGCTTGAACAGTTGTCAAGTGCAGAGTGTTTATTTACTAAATGAGAAATTGCAGAGAACCAACAAGGTAAATGTACATCTTAAGGCAATATCGCAAATGCAAAAAAAAGTATAAATATTTTCCAGTTGATTGAGATTATTGAATATATGGAATATAATAAATAATTCAGACAAGTAGTTCTTAATTAATAATAAAATTAAGCTTTATATTCCGATAAATACAGTACATGCTACCTAACAAAAATAAAAAAACTAAAATAAAAAAATATGATCTGAGATCTTTATTATGGTCTGTGAGCTTTCTATTTCTGTAAAAAGGAGTCTATGCAAAGTGTGTGTGCTGCTAAATACATCTGAGTTCTTTAAACTAAATAATCATTCTGTATATACAAGCTACGGGGAAGGTGTTAACAGTACTTTCTTTTGAATGTTAAATCTGTATAATTATTTAAATTCTCTTTTAAATCATTTATGTATGTTTTAAGCAAAAACAAATATATATATATATATATATCTTGAAAAAGATTTGATCTGTTTAACTGACCTTTAATTGTAATTCCAGAATATAATATGTTATCTCGAAATATAATAAAGAATGATTATTTTTAGGTCTTGTCAAGTTATTTAATTACAATTAATCTTGTCACGTTTATCGTCTTTTCAAAGGATTAAGTTTACATTTTAAGCATTTTATGTCCGATAAAGTGTGAATTCAGAATTGTGAAATTAAGACTTTTTTTGATGAACTAATAAAGAATGTCACATTGGTTCTCATCCAGGCCAAGACTTGCCATAAGGGGCAGTTGAGAACCCTCGTAGTTTACCAAAGATGCAGGTTGCAGACAGTCACTGATCTCCGACCTGGCAAACTGTATGGTGCTAGATGGGGTATGAAGGAGAGCTCCCCTATGCCCCAGAAACAAAAAATTAGGATAAATGCTTCACACACTTCCAGATCCCTTAGGAATCTAGACACAATTTCTCTCTTTTTTTGTGTGTGTAGGATTGTGTACATTAGTGTGTGTAAGTGTGTATTGTGCATGAAGGTTTCTTCTTCAATATGGAGATTCTTCTTCAATATAAATAGTGTCTATCGCTCCATAGTGCAGGGTATATAGCAATTTACTGTTAGTTTTTCTCTGTCCCTCTGGGATCCCGATATGTGGTCCTCTATTAGTTGTGTCCAGGGCCAAGGCTAGGATTTCTGGCTACACAGGAGAAGATACCGTTTTTTCACCCATGCCACAAAATACTGTGAGTCGTATTGCTTTGAAGCTTTGAGTGAGCCTCATTTAACTTGACATTAACATTCACAGTAATGTACAGTGTGTATGATTGTAATTATTCCCAGTAATGTGCATAGCTATAACACACAACACGGGGTAATGACAGAGCTCCACTGTAATAAATGGGGGGAGGTTAACAGGGGGGTATATGACAGTGTTCATGGGTGGTGTGACGAGACCAATCTCGCCACATTGCATTGGAGAAGCCGGGTTGCTCGCCTGTTGCCTTAGGATTATGGCCCCATGTTAAAAGGCTTGATTTTCCCCTGCAAAGACGAGAAAGCCGGGTCATTTGGTGCTTGCCCTGTTTGAGCAGTGATACCCTAGATAGCTATGCCATGGAGCCCATTCGTATAATGAAAGACTATGGGAAAGACTTTGGCTCCATGGCAATTGAACTGTATGTGTGTGCTCTGAGCGCCATTCAGTAATAATGTGCGCTCAGATCTGAGCTATCTGGGGATATTTTGCATGTCTGTATTTTATGTCATAAATGTGACCTTGTGTATTTTATTGTATTTTACTGTCTTTTTGCTGCCATGTGTTCAATGGAGTTTTGCCTCTGTCTTTGGAGACAATTGGATTACTTCTAATTATCTCCAGGATAGAAGACTCTGTGGAACTGGTTTTGAGCAGAAAAACCATGCTTCCTGTGATCACAAAGGACTACGATCTATCTTTTGGACCACTGGACCAATTTGTATGATTTTGACATATGTTTGTATTTGGAGTATGCTGATTCTAAAAATGTAAGTTTATGTGAATGTGATGCATACTTTTCAAGTTATGAATAATGTGGAAAATTTGTATTTCTCTGCTGGTGCTAAATTACATTACCCATTGTGTGAGGTAATTGAATCACCGGCAGAGGGGAGGAATTTGTGTGGGAGTGTCTGAGTGTATTGTATGTGTTTATTGGTTGTGTTCCAAGTACATGTGTTCGGGCATATCATTAAGGAGACAAGTCCCATCAGGTTAGAGAACTGGCATTTAGGGATAGGTGCTGGTCTTAGCAACCCTAACTAAGTTCACCAGTCCCACGAGGCCTACTCCCCCCACCTCAACACGGAGGTTCAGCCCCACGGCCAAAATCATAGTTAGCCACCTCGCTCGCCCTTCTTTAGGGCAACAGCTAGGGCTTCCCAAGTCACAGCCACACGTATTGAATCTCCTACGGTCATCGAGAGGCCAACATCCTACCATGTTTATGTGGCACACACGACTTCCCTCGGCAATAATCATAGGTAGAGCCTCTCACCGCCACTTGGCATTAGCAGGGCATCACCTGTTACTTGGTTTTAGTTAAGTTCTTCGCCTTGGCACTAGTTAGCAGGCCAGTTCTCTGAAGGTCCTGTTCCCCCTTCACAATACCCTACTTAAATCATTATTCCTTTTTCAGAATGTCACAAGAATCTATACCCATCGACGATATACCATTGGACGAAGTACCCAGCATGCCAGTCAGGCCTGGATCTCCAGAGGAATCCCTCACCCCCTCTACCCCCAGGTCCCTGAGATCCTGGACTATTCCCAAAATTGCAGCAGAACTTAGGTTCAGGGGTATCCCCTTTTCAGCCACCGCTAGAAAGGCAGAGCTATACAGGCTCTTGAAGGCACAGACCAACGAACCTAGGCCCAGCAGTAGCTCACAAGGGCCGTCTAGAAACACCTCTGATTCTACACAGGAGACCTTGACTGCTATTCTGGCCAACCTCCAAACCGACTGCTTACAGTGGAATCAGCCATAGCCACCTCAGATAACCTACCAGGCCCTTCAATTCCTCCCCTTGTAATCTCTACTGTTCAGTCTGACACCCCCTCACTCCCCCTCCCCCACCAGCCACAACCACAACCCCATATGTCTCACCTGCTCACTCGGTTCCAGCTTCCATAAAAAAGGAAATAATGGATGGGAAGGACGTAAATCTAGTTTCCTTACTCATAGCCTCACAAGACGTCTTTGAGAACAGAACATACAATTACGGGGACATCTCAATGTTCTTAAAAATTAGAGACCCATGCCTTAACAAAACACTTTCTATCCCTCAGTTTGTTATAGCCATTGGAATATATCGAGATGTCATCTGCACGGTGTATCCACATAGGAGGGAAGAGCTCGATCTGTATTTGCATAAGGTAGTTGACTTAAGCATCAAGTCCTTCTACGACTACCACAGGTATGTGTCAGCCAAGGCAGCAACTCATCTGGCCCAGTTTAATATAAGAATTGACTGTTGCCAGGTTGACATGTCCTGTGTCTCCTATAGCTCAACATCCCACTCCACTGACTTGTGCCCTTGTGAGGCAGACCCTTCCACTTTTCACCACTCCTTCACCCCACACACTAGACAAGAAGGCTGGCAGAGGGAGAAGCTGGGCAGACCCATTTCGTTCCTGGACAAGGCACAGGTGTGCAATAACTTTAACGCTGGGGCATGCAGCTTCAGCGCATGCAGGTTGTTGCACATCTGCTCCATTTGCTTCAGAGAACATACTAAGACCATGTACCCGGCACGACTGTCATCAAAAAAATGACAGTTAACATAGACATTGTGGCTTACTACCTGCGTTCCCACCCAGCCAGGCATTTGGTAGATTATTTAGTGATGGGTTTCTCACGGGCCTCATTGCCATCCCCACAGACACACTCAAATGCCCTAACCTATTGTCAGCATCTAACGACCCTCTTATGGTGGATCGCCAAGGCTGGTTTCATGATTGGTCCTTTCACATCATCACCGTCTTCATCCTGGCATACCAACCCCATTGGGGTAGCCGTACACAAGTACTCAAATAAAAAGAGATTGATTATCGACCTCTCTGCACCTTATTCTTCTTCCATCACTAGCATCAACTCTCTCACTATGCAAAAATTGATGACGCTATGCAAGCTATCATCACAGCAGGCAGTAAGGCATGGTTCAGCAAGACTGATATTACCAACGCCTTCAAGCTCCTACCCATTCACCCCTCACTATGGCACTTGCACGGTGTTAAATGGCGGGACAGGTATTTTTTTTCTATCCGGCTCACTTTCGGGTTTAGGAGCAGCCCCAAGCTGTTTGACATTTTCGCAGAGACCTTCTGTTGGCTGCTCCTAAACATAGTTATCCACTACGTGGACAATTTTTTGTTGGTAGACCCAGGCTTACAAACACCCAGTAGCATTCACAGCACCACAGCCCTTTTCAATACACTAGGGGTACCCCTGTCACCAAGTAAAACGCTTGGACCCTCTACCAAGCTAGTTTTCTTGGGCATAGTCTTAGACACTATATCTTTTCAAGCCAGCCTACCATCCGAGAAATTGACTCACATTAGGGATGAAATCAGCCTGTTTCTGCGGAGTGAGACATGCACCAGAAAGGGACTCCTGTCTTTATTGGGGTCCCTTAACTTCACGATGCGTATCATTTCGCAGGACAGATCATTCATCTCTAGACTACTGTGTTTACTCCCTGGGGTGCCCGACTCCTTCCCAATTATATTGGATGGTCCTGCCAGGGCAGATTTGCACATGTGGAGTAACTTCTTGGCCGAATGGCTCTCACCCACTATCTACACAGATGCAGCAGCACACACAGGGTTTGCAGCTATTTTTGGCAACCACTGGTTTAGGGATAACTAGCCCACTGAGACGGATGCCTTGCCGGCCTTTAGAGAAACATCCTTATTGTTCGAGATTTACCCCATCGTGGCAGCCGCCCATACATGGGGTCATCTCTGGACTTGCAATGCAGTTAAATGCTACTCAGACAATTCAGCAACTTGCGAAATTATTAACAAGGGGCGGTCATCCTCTCTAACCATCATGAGGCTGATACGCAAGCTGACTTGGCTGGCAGCAACCGCTCAGTTCCACCTAGTCTGCGTACACATTACTGGTATCCATAACACAGCTGCTGACGCTCTTTCACGCTCTCAATTTCAGGTCTTCTTCCAGGCACTCCATTCGACCCACCACCTACCATCCAGGATAGCACCTTTCCATGAGCTAATTCTGGATTAAACGAGCTACTACACCACGCTCAGGCACTAATGCACCACGCATATTCACCCAACACCACTATCACTTACGCTAGGGCACTGTCTATTTTTTTTTGTCTATTATCCCATAATACCATTAAGCTTTACCTTACTGGGGTTCAACACCATGTCCTCACTAACATTCCTAATCATGCACCTTTCTTAGCATCATAGCCTATTAAAAAAATCCTCAAGGGTATTTACAAGGTTACAGTTCCACCTGTCACTACCAGATTGCCTATAGATGGTCCTATTTTTAGGCTACTTAGCGACCTATTGGACATATCCCGTTTGACTATCCCATTCACACTAACCTGGTTATAAAGGCAGCTATATTTATTGCTTTCTATGGTTTCCTCAGACCTAGGTAGTTCACAGTCATATGCCAAGTACATACCACATTAAGCCTGAAACTATCTCATCTAAAGAAAGTAGAAGACCACTACGTACTTTCATTACCTTCCACAAAAACTAACCACACCATTCATCCCACTATCATTCCCCTCTTCCCTACCGAGAATGCCTGGTGCCCAGTCAAAGTAGTTGACATATTCCTGGTATCTCACCACACTCACTCACTGGACACTCCACTATTACTACTCCAAGGGCACCCACTCACCACAACTAAATTCACATCTCACGTCAGAACTCTACTGTTAAGGTTGGGCTACAACTCGGCTTCCTTCTCCGGTCACTCCTTCCGTATAGCCGCAGTATCTTCAGCATCAAGCTCAAACACACCAGTCCACATCATTAAGAGACTAGGCCACTGGAAATCCTCCATTTACAATACCTACATACCACGGCCGGAGAGGGAGCTACGACAAGCTTTCAGAAGTCTTGCTTTGTAACTTGCAATAAAGTGTGTTTCTTTGAATCCTCCTTTTGCCCTCTTTTTATTACAGGCCTACTCGTACATTGGTTTCGGCACACTTCAACCAACTTAGCATCTTCTTATACATTCCATAACCTATTAGAAATTCCGAGCCCAGATATATATATTTTGCTCCAACAAATTGTGTGTGTGTGTGTATATATATATATATATATAGAGAGAGAGAGAGTATATATATATATATATATATATATATATATATATATATATATATATATATATATATACACACACACACACACACACACATACATATATATATATATATATATATCGTAATGATAGCACTCCAAGGACTTCGAAAATATTGTGAAAAAACGTAGCTTTTTATTCAGGCATCTGCCACAGAAGATCAACGTTTCAGTTCTCTAAGGAACTTTCGTCAGGATACAGTGCAATACAAACAACAGTGTTTAAATAACCCACAATTGCATTAACATAATCAATAAACTGTATACAGGCTGTACTCACAATTAACCTCTGGTCTGGTTGCAGCTGCTGCTGCAAAAAAAAAAAAAAGAGAATGGCCAGACCTCTAGTAAAAAACAGTGGAGTGGGGCGGAGCCTAGCCACCAGAGAGAGAAGTCGCACGACACTGCAGCTCCGATCCAAAAGCGGACAAAATCGCAATTTTCAGGGTCACCCCCGGCCATAACGAGCCCCCGGACGTCGGACCCACACACCTAACGACTATGGGACGCAAAACCAAAAAACCCAGGCAGGATCAACCTCACCTTGGGATGAATATCGGAGAAATGTGGCGCCTAGCACATGGCGCGGCCGGGCCCAAGATGGCCGACCTGTCGGGCGGTTGCTTCGATTTTTCGGACGACCTGGCCTCCGAAGAGGAAGAGACGCCTGAACTCACGCCGGCTAAACCCCCACCGACGAAACCGGACACATCCCCGGTCACACTATCGGCGCTCAAGGGTCTCCTTGCCGACCTACAGACCACCCTGCAGGCTGACATTGCCACAATCAGGGGAGGGCTGCAGGGACTGACAGGCCGAATTGACAGGCTGGAAACCACCACTCACCAGGACTCTCAGCGTACACAGGTGCTGGAGAAAGCGGTGCAAGACCTCCAGCGGCAGAACCAGACCCACGAATGGCGCTTTGCAAATCTAGAAGACCTACGGCGGAGGAATAATTTGAAGCTCCGGGGGGTACCTGATGCTGTCCCTGAAGCGGAGCTGCCACACCTGGTGCGGAGAATGATGGGGGATCTCCTACCACAAAAACAGGCGAAAGCAACACCCCTGGACGGGCTTTTTAGAATCCCCAAACCGGCCAGAGCCCCACCGTCGACATCAAGTGACCTGATAATTCAATTCAGGCACGGAACAGACAAGGCGGCGATCCTGAAGGCAATCAGGGGTAGGCCAAATTATCGTTTTGAAAACATGGCACTGGAATTCTATAATGACCTGTCCGGCAGCACAATGGCCTGGCGGAGGTCGCTCAAGCCCCTCACATCCATGCTCCAACAGCGAAACATGGAGTACCGCTGGCGAATGCCCCGCATGCTTCAGATCATACATGGAGAGACCACATACCAAATCCAAGACCTACGAGAGGCAGACACACTCCTGAGGGATCTGGGACTGCCGCAGGACATTCTAATCAACCCTCAGCAACAACCTGAACCCAGACACAAGCATACCTGGAATCCAAGCAAAATTACCCCGTTCACACCTAGACGAAACACAGGGGAACCGTATGCTGCAGCGACCACATGAAACACCGAGAGACGCTCTGACCGAGACCGAGGGAGACTGGAACGACCCTCAAGCTACTTCACTTTGTGACTTTAAGTTAATTTGAGTTCTTATTCTTATTATAATTTTATTTTTTTTATTTTTTTATTTATTTTTTTTTTTTTATTTTTATTTTTTTTTCTCCTTAAAGTTATAGCAAGGTGATTGAAATATCTTTCTCCATTTGTGTATGACCCAACTATCTCATGCTTTACGCCGAGATGGAGCTGGCGGTGACCCCAGCCATTCATAATAAGTAGCATAAAGTATGATATGCCACGACTCACTGCAACAGATAGCGCTACAAATGCAGTCACAGAATAACCTGCACACCCTCTGCACACAATCTTGTACATAGTTTAACTGTGGTTTAGCAGTATTTATATAAAGGTCACACAGGAATGTAAGACGCCCTGCCTGGTGGCACCCTGAATTAATGAAAATCTTAGGTATGATAAAACCTTAATGGCATTACCCGTTCCCCGGTAGTCAGCATTGCTCACCCTAACATAATCTGCAACACAATCCTTCTGTGTTACCTACTACGTGTCATGACTACTCGATCCAGCAGTTGCTACATTAAAGATATGCCTCTCACTTATGCACTATTCAGCATAACCAAGACGAGGTCTAGATAGTATAGCGATGACACGCTACGTAAATATTAAGCCACTGTTATTATCAGATAAAGTAAAGCAATAAGACAGACGTAGTTGCATAGCTACAACTTTGCTACCTTTCATCTATTATCTATCAAACTGAAAGTGAGCTGCCAAAAATTATCTAAATGCAGATATACATACTCACCCACTGCTTAATGTAACGTATTCACTATGTTGTAAGCTTTAGCCTGTTGAAATTTCAAGATGTTACTACATTGTCTAAGCCTGTTTAAACACCACCAAGTTATCGAGTCTGACTGACAAGCTTCATAATCATTTAACATATAAAATGTGCACGTATTAACATGTACCCTATTGTTACAATTATTACTTGAAAGCATGAGGAATGCCGTTGGGGTACCGCATGCTCATTGTTATACCTCTACGCACTACAAAAATAAAGAATTAAAAAAAAAAAAAAAACAGTGGAGTGGAAGGGAATTGAGCTGGGCTCTAAATAAAATTCCTCCATAGTGAGGTCCTTAACCTTAGCCTCTGTTCCCATTAGTTCGGCACCTTTTACCCTGCCGTCCATTTTATTTAGAGCCCAGCTCAATTCCCTTCCACTCCACTGTTTTTTACTAGCGGTCTGGCCATTCTTTTTTTTTTTGCAGCAGCAGCAGCAGCTTCAACCAGACCAGGGGTTAATTGTGAGTACAGCCTGTATACAGTTTATTGATTATGTTAATGCACTTGTGGGTTATTTAACCCCTTAACGCCGTTACGGCGTTTTATGCCGTCCCGCATTAAAAGGGCTTTAAAGCCGTTGCGGCGGCATAGAACGCCGTAACGGCTTTGAGCCCCTGGAGGTCCGGTGGACTTACCTCCCCTCCTCTTCTGGAGGGCTGCCCGACAGCCCAGGCAGCCCTCCCCCGGCAAATGAGGCCCCCGTGATCGCTCTCAAAGAGCGATCACATGGCCCCCTACAGCTGGCTGTGGATCTGTCAGCAGGGGGACTGTCTGAAATGTCAGACAGTCCCCCTGCTGGTGGGAAAGTAAAAAAATAAAAATAAACATGTTATAAAATAAAATAGAAATGTATTTATATATATAATATATGTATATATATTATATATATATTTAATATATATATACATATTATATATATATGTAACGTCATACAAAGTGTATTTTAATATTAATATAAGTACATATATTAGTATTAAAATACACTTAGAATGATGTTATATATATATATATATATATATAAGATATATATATATATATAAAATAGATATATACACATATATATATGTATAATTACAATAATAAAATAATAAAATAAAATATTGAAACAAAATTTAATATAAATTATATATATATATATATATATATATATATATATATATATATATATATAATGGAAAATTTATTCATACTTACCGTAATTTTCTTTTCCTGGTCATATGCCATGGCAGCACAACATTGGGTAGCTCCTCCCTATCCCCATTGGACAGGAATAATTATTAAGCTGTATAAGTACCACCTCCTACCCCTCCTTCCCCAGTCATGTTTTCCAGCAATAGCCCCGGGTGGGACCCTTGTGCTGCCATGGCATATGACCAGGAAAAGAAAATTATGGTAAGTATGAATAAATTTTCCATTTTCCTGGCCATATCCATGGCAGCACAACATTGGGTAATACCCAAGCAATAAACCAGGGAGGGAAAGAGACACAGACTCCAAAAATTTGAATGCAAAGTGTATTAACACCACAACAAGTGAAAAAAATAGAAATCAGGCATTGGATACAGACAGAACTGATTTAGCAAATTGATCAGATATACCTGCTCTAACATCAATTTGGTAGCTCTTAATGAAAGTGTTAGAGGAAGACCATGTAGCTGCTTTACAAATGAGTTCAGGAGAAACATTAGCAGCGGCTGCCCAGGAAGATGAGAGAGCCCTCGTGGAATGGGCTTTAAGACCCACAGGGACCGGATATCCAGCCGATTGATAAGCCAGAATAATAGCTGCTACTATCCACCTGCTAATGGTAGATTTGGGAGCTTGTAAGCCCTTTTTACAGCCGCAATGAAGGACGAAAAGACTGTGAGAAGTACGCCAAGCAGAAGTCCTATCAATATATATCTGGAGAAAACTTACTAGATCCAGAGAAGATAGGTTAGTAGAATTCTCCATTTCTTGGGAGTCAGACCTCAGAGATGGAAGAACAATATCCTCGTTGATGTGAAAGGAGGAGGTGACTTTAGGTCGAAATTCGGGAACCGTACGGAGGACAACTCTGTCTTTGTGAAAGACCGTAAAAGGCTCCTTAATGGATAGAGCATGGAGCTCAGAAACCCTCCCGCCGAAAGCTAGGGTAATCAGCAGAGCAGTCTTAATAGAGAGAGCATGAAGAGGAACTGTGTCAAACGGTTCAAAAGGTTCCAACTTTAGGGCATTCAAGACCAAAGGGAGATTCCAAGATGGAACAAATGGTTTAATAGGAGGTTTTATCTGAAGGACTCCTTTGATGAACCTGATGAC